GACTGGGATCATGTGGTTCATTTGTGTTTATATCTGGGGTATATGTTCACATGTGTCTGTGCATCTGTACATGGGGTATTCATACATGTGGAGGCAAGAGGTTGATGTCACGTTTTCTTTTTCTAAAAAGTAATTTATTTACTTTTGTTTTATGTACACTGGTATTTTGCCTCCATGTACGTCTGTGCAAGGGTATAAAGATGTGAGATCTTAGAGTTACAGACAATTATGATCTGCTATAAGGGCTGGGAATTGAACCTGGGGCCGTTTGGAGAACTGCCAGTGCTCTTAACCATTGCGCCATCTCTCCAGCCCTGATGAATCACTCTCCACCGTAATTTTTTGAGGCAGTTTCTCTAGGAACCTAGAGCTCACTGATTATTTAGCCAGCAATGGGAATAATCCCTTATCTGTATCACTAACCCACCCCACCCTCCCTTTAGGCTGGGAATACAGGTACTCTGGGCTTTGTTTTTTTTTTTTGTTTGTTTTTGTTTTTGTTAGGTTGTTTTTCTTTTGTGTGTGTGTCTTTTTGTTTTTGCTTTTAATTTTTTTGATTTTCAAAATGGTTTCACTGCATAATCTGGCTATCTCAGAACTTGATTTGTGGACCAGGCTAGCCTTGAATTACTAAAATCTGCCTGCCTCTGTATTCCAAGTGCTGGAATTAAAGTTGTGTGAAACCACCGCCCAGCGTTTGTTTTAAAGCATAGATCATGCTTGTGTGGTAAACACATTACTGACTGAGCCATATCCTCAGGTTTACATCCAATTTTTTATGCAACCAACAAGCTGTTCTCCAAAGTTATTTTAAAATTTTATATTCCTGTCAGCAGCAAACAGGTATTCCAGCTACTCTGCAAGGGCAACAAGATACAACACAGAACTGGGCTTTTAAATTTATCTAGTTCAGTTGTTGTGCAAAGATGTGTCCTTGTGAGTTTGTCTCTGTATTATAATGTGGGAATTTATGCAATATAAAACTATCGATGACAGATTCAACGCAATGGCCATCAAAATCCCAGCAAAATTCTTCAAGGTCCTCGAAAGAATGGTACTCAGCTTGATATGGAAAAGCAAAAAATCCAGGATAGCCAAAACAATCCTGTACAATAAAAGAACTTCTGAAGGCATCACAATCCCTGACTTCAAACTCTACTACAGACCTACAGTACTGAAAACAGCCTGGTAATGGCATAAGAACAGACAGGAGGACCAATGGAACCAAATAGAAGACCCAGATGTCAATCCACACACCTACAAACACCTGATTTTTGATGAGAAAGCAAAAATTATCAAATGGAAAAAAGAAAGTATATTTAATACCTGGTGCTGGCATAACTGGATATCAACATGGAGAAAAATGAAAATAGACCTATATCTATTACCATGCACAAAACTTAAGTCCAAATGGATCAAAGACCTCAACATAAAGCCAGCCACACTGAACCTTATAGAAGAGAAAGTGGGAAGTACACTTGAACGCATTGGCACAGGGAACCACTTCCTTAATATAACCCCAGTATCACAGACACTGAGAGAAACTATTAATAAATGGGACCTCCTGAAACTGAAAAGCTTCTGTAAAGCAAAGGACACAGTCAACAAGACAAAACGACAGCCTACAGAATGGGAAAAGATCTTCACCAACCCCACATCAGAAAGAGGTCTGATCTCCAAAATATACAAAGAACTCAAGAAATTGGACACCAAAAGAACACATAATCCAATAAAAAAAA